CCCATGTTAATGAACTATGTGATTGTTAAGATGCCAGTTCTCCTTAAACTGATGTATAGATGCAGTGGAAACCAACAAAAAATTCCCACAAGTTTTTTCTTTGGGTATAAACTGACAACCATTTGTAATATTTCATGGAAATGCAAAGAGACTGCAACAGCCAAAAGAGTTTTGAAAGAGAATAAAGTTGGAAGTCTCACACAACCTGATTTCAAGACTCAGTCTAAAGGTACAATTGCCAATGAATTGTGTTATTAGTGTAAACATAGACATAGAGATCAATGAAACAGAACTGAGTCCAAAAATGAACACATATATATATGGTTAATAGATTTTTGATAAAGTCACCAATGCAATTTAATGAGGAGGAAAGTCTTTCCAGTAAATGTTGCTATAACTAGGTATTTGTATGAAAAAATAGTTAAAACCCTACTCTTACATAACACAATACAGACAAGTGAATTCTGGATCATACATGTGAATGAAATTGTGATATTCTGTGGATTAAACACTTTAAATGATTTTTAATCAAGTATAACTGAAAGTCCATGTGCTGATTGGCTCTATCAGTCACTTTGGTGACTACCTAACATACCCAGTTGCGCCTATTCTTCCTTGATAACAATCTCTGATATTGCTCAAATTGGCTATCATGTGCTCATCTCACCCACAATGCTCATCCAACCCAGTGTGCTCATCCCACACAAATGTGCTCATCCCACACCAATGTGCTCATCCAAACCAATGTGCTCACACCACCTTAATGCGCTGATTCCACACCAGTGTGCTCATCTCGCCCCAATATGCTCATACCATGCCAATAAATTCAGGAATAGTAAGCTTACAACAATATCCCCTGGGGAGGAAATGCCAGATTCATACCTATATTAGATGCCATTTGTGTCCCATCCATGTCTCCTAACTATTATCATTTCTGAGCTTTCCCAGCTCCATATCCAATGCCAAATTCTTGGTCTCCCCCTGAGAGCATCATCTGGCCAAAAGAACCCTCTCCTTTCACTTGCATTTTTATGTGTTAGTTGTATGACATAATGCTCTCCCCCCATCCCCAGGAATTCTGTGTGCTTCTGGGAGCTAGACAGTCTATGCTTGACCTTTAGGAATTCATTAGCATTTTAGCCAAAATATTGTCTGCTTGAACACTGCCTCTGCTGCCCTCAGCACCAGGACAGCTATTGCGCACAACTCAGTCTCCTTTGGGAGACATCTGATTCTCCTTGGATTTCAGGTTATTAGCTTGTTCTATGACCTCTACTTTGTGATGGGTTTAAGAAAATGTATGACTTTGTAGGTTATCTGGATTTTTCTTGTTAGGGTGGTAGTGATATTCTTTTCAGCATTTAACATTCTATGTGGAAACTGGTATTTGCAAACTGGTATTTTCTTTAATGTGATTTGAGAGGAGAGACAGAGACAGAGACAGAGAGAGAATGAAGATTTCCCCAATGTCTAGTAGAAAGAATATTATGCTTAACTCCTTACTATCAACTCTAATTTACTCCTGAATTTAGGATAGCAAGAAACATTTGAGCTTAGAAAGCAAGTAACATAATTATTTTGATTTTCATTGTCATGAATTTGTAAATAAACCAGTGAAAAATAGAAGGTAGTGGTCATGGATACATTAAAATATTTACATATATATATAGAGAGAGAGAGACAGAGAGTACATATTTATGGGATACAGTCAGAATAGTTAGTATATCAATCACCTAATTATTTATCATTTCTTTGCAGTTATAACATTCAAGATCCCAATTTCTGGCTATTTTATCTCTTATTTTTTATTACTTTATTTTATCAATATACAATATAGTTGATTTTTGTGTTCCTTTACCAATTCCTCCTTCCCTCTCCCTCTCCCCCTCCTAACAATCAACATCATATGAGTTCACTTGTCTTAACAAGTTCAAGGAATTGTCATTGTTATGCCTTCTTCCCCCCCATTTGTTTGTGTATTTATTTATTTATTTTTAGCTACCACAAATAAGTGAGAACATGTAGTATTTCTCTTTCTGTGCCTGACTTATTTAACTTAAAATAATTTTTTCTAAGTCTATCCATATTATTGAGAATGGTAGTATTTCATTCTTTTTTTTATAACAGAGTATAATTCAATTGTGTAGATACACCACATTTTCCATATCCACTCATCTAATGATGGACATTTGGGCTGATTCCCACTCTTGGCTACTGTAAATAGTGCTGCAATAAACATCGGAGTACAGGTGTACTTTGGACATGATGATCCACAAGTTGTGTGGGGGTGGAGTTAGTGTGCATGCTTTCCTGTGTATCTTTTAGCCTGTTGCTATTTTTAGTGTGTTCTTTTACAATGTGTGAAGCAGTGGCTCAGCAGAGCTTGAGTCTAAAAATAGAGCATGTTTACTTTGCCAGCAGCTCCTCAGTTTTCCCTTTGGACTGCCTAGCTCTTAGATGTATGTTTGCTGGATAAAGCTTATTATTCCTTCAACCGAGGCTCCAAGGACCTTTGTCCTGTTGCATAGCTCATAGAGCTGTGTGTGAATTGTTTGTAACCCAGTCTGGACACTGGGCTTGAGTGGTCTGTGAGCTCCAGATCCTAGCCCTACCTCTACAATGAGTATAGTCTGCAGCAGGACTCTGAGCAGGTACAGGAGACAAAAGCCCTTGGGAGTAGGAGGAGATATGGCTACTTTTGAATATGTTCTGCCCTATGGCACTTTCCTGTTGGCTGGGATCTGGTTGCTGCTCACTATACTGCAAGGCAGCATAGACCAGGCACTACAGCGGAAAACTCCTAGGGAGAGGGAGGAAATGTGGCTGTCCTTGAGTATGATGAAAATTTTACAGGCAGCATGAGAGACATGGTGTTGCAAAAATGCCCTCTCAATGTCCTTTGGGTAAATAATGGCCATTCTAGCCCCATACGTTTATTTTCCTATACAAGAGGTAATGACCATGATAGGCAGCTTGGGTGAAATAGAGGATAGAAGACAAGCAAAAGGGGTCCAAAAGGTGGCTAAGACCAAACCCCCAAGAAGTACTCGGGATTTTATCCTGAGAGGACCAAGCAAGACTAGCCATAAGCAGATGTGGCTTGACTTGCTTGCAGCAGGGGGTGATAGCAAGAAAACTGACTAGGAGCCAAATGCTGTCCTGTTTGCCTTGTGGCAACAATTGTGCCCTGAACAGCATTTCACTAAATGTCCAGAA